TCGTCCCGCTGTCCCTCCTGGGCGCTCCCACGAGGAAAACGCTCACGGGGTAGCGCCCGAGGCCTCCGTCCATAAAGCGCCTTTTCCTTAGAGCCGACGCGGGGGCCAAGGTCCTCGCGTCCCTTTCCGCCCTCGCAGGAGAGAGGCGCCAGAGCCGTGGGCGCGTGTCCGGCCCCAGCAGGACTCGGACACTTCTAACCACCCGCTGCGCCGTCCCCGCCATCTGGACCGTTTTAGTTCCCCCTGCAATCCCCAAATACAGTTCCGGCCCAGGTACCTCGCTCCCAAGCAGGCGGCCCCCAGCCCCGGAATTCCGAGTCGAGACAGATTTGTGCTTTGGCTCAGAAACTCCTCTTCAGGAAGGGGTCTAAAATCCGAACCGGGTTTTTGTCAAGGTCTTGCCCCCCCAACCCCCCAGCAGGGCTGATGAGAAAGACACCATCCCCGAGGGAGGCTGGCTCCACGGAGAGCCACGTTCGAGGAGGGCGCGGGGCAGCCCCAGCGCCGGCTTCACAGCCTCGCTCCCCACCCCGCAGGGCGTGTGGGTGCGCACGGGGCCCAGGGCTCTGGGCCCGATCCCGGTGCTGCCGCTGTGGCAGGACCGCCCGGGGAGAATCCTAGGCAGACGGCGGCCTGGCTCTGTAACTTTAAAAGCCTTTGGACATAGGCCCCTCACTTGGCTTTTCTGAGCCTCAGCTTTACATTCTGGTTGATGAGGCCACGCCATCCACCCCCTCCATCGCAGGAGGGTAGGTAAGGATCAGAGGATAGAATGCATGTGAAAGTGCTCTGTAAACAGGAATACACCACAAAAATAACACAAATACTATGAGTATTAACCTTATCGCTCTCAGGCAAGCCAAAACTCAGGGTGCTGCTTAAAGCGGCTCAACATCACTTCTGTTCCGCCCTGGTGGTCAAAGCCCCTCACTTCCAGCTCCGTGGATCAGCTTCCCAGGTGAGTAGGAGGTAGGATCCTGGCAGGAAAAACAAACAGACCAAAAAAAAAAACGAAACAAAACAAAAAACCTAGGCACTTTTTTTCCTCTAGGACTTGAAGTACCTGAGGCCCTATTTTGGTGAATTATAGACCTCTAATCTATAAATCAATTTTCAACTCTTGCACAATTCTGGCATCATCTAAATCTGATGTTGTGGGGGTAGAGAACATAGATGCTAGTATTCTTGTCCACCCCACTGACGGCGTTAGGGCGGCAGTGGGTGCTGACCCGCCAGGCTGGTCATTTGAAGCCTTCAAACAATGATCTGCCATCTCCTCAATGGTCTCTTTTCTTTCTATTCATGATCTAAGTTTTGCTCAGAATGACTTCAAGGGAATGAGAAAATTACCTGGAATTCTTGTCAGATCTGAGAGGGTCACAACAGATCACTATTCCAGGATTAGAAACTTCTAGAACAGGTTCTTGGGAGTGCTCCTAGCTTTCCTTTCTCTCTGCCTCAGATAGCTCTCCTACCCCTGGGCCCTGGCCAGCCAGTCACCCCCGTGACAGTCAGACTGCTGGGTGTTTCACCACCGTCAGCCCCAAGAGGGTAAAAGGGACCTCACCAAGATGTTTGAAGAAACATTTCAAAGGCCAAGGAGGCCTCGGGACTGTTCGGGATGCCCCTTAGATCTAGTGCAGCAGGTCCCAAACGCGCCTGGTCACAGGACTCTTCTGAAATGTGTGTTCAAAGAGCAAATCCGTGCTGCAGACCCACCCGATTGAGCCCCAAGACAGGATCCAACAATACATGCTTCACATCAATCCAGTGAAGTGTATGGTGAGGCACTCTGGGGAACCCTGATCCAGCAGCAAAGATCTATAGGCTTGGCGTCTACAGGGCTGAATTCGATTTGTGATTTCACTAACAGCGATGTTTATTTCTCCATCTATAAGGAAAAGGGGGGCTGGATGTCAACAGTGTCCGTGACTTTGGCCTCTCTCAATGGCCGCCTCAAGTCTCATCAGATTACCACTGTGAAGTCCTTCAGACCATTTAGAAATATTTACAGATGTGGCTGTTTTCAGCATGGAGGGCCTGGGGCTACAGCGGCAGCCTCGTCGCACGCCCAGTCTGCACAGTCCTGTGCCGGGTGCAGAAGGAGGATCACAGGAAGGGAGATGAGACGCCCAGTATCTCTGCCAGACTTGCTCCGTGTAGTTGAGGGTGGCCAGCAACACTCACAGCTGCGGAACTGAGCCCCCGGAGGAGCAGATGCAGAGCTGCCCTGTGAGCACGCGTGGGTGGGACGGCTGACACGTGCCGCCCGGTCATAGCAAATGCCCCCGGCTTCCTAGTGAGTCTCTGCAGGGTCTAAAGAAGCAGTTATAGGGGACACCTCCCGCCACCTGCATCCACGCCCCCTTTCCCAACACATCCGACTCAGCTGTGACTCATAGGCCAACACAGCAGCTCCTGCATCGTCCCACTGGGCCCTCGGCCTGGTACTTCTCCCCGTCCTAATTCACCTCTTGCGGTCAGGTTTTTTTAATACTGACTTTTCAGAACACTGAGCAGATCTTTACATACAATGGATGGACAAAGACACACAACATTTAAATATCAAAATATACCCATTTAAATTTAAAAACTTTAATTCTCTGGGTTTGTTAGAATTTCTCCATAGCGATATTTCACATTATATGCATAAAATCTAATTCTTTCTTGGGCATGTCTTATTTTCCCTATTCAGTTGCAGGTTCCCAACGGACAGAGATTATGCCTTAACACAAGACTTACTTTGTACCCCAACGAAACCTAGGAAGGGAGCTAATATGTAGAAGTTTGTCCTACGTGGGAAACACTATTCAGGGAAGAAACAAGAGGTCCCACTGAGGAAAGCCGGGGTGCCGAGGACGGCCAGCTTTACTTACTTGTGCAGTCAACCCTGTATGCGTCCACATACCCAGAAAGAAGTGTTCTGTCTTGGCCTAGAAATTTCAGTGATTTATGCAGCCCTAGAGGGCACAACCTGGTCCTATCTCCCCAGGTTATCTCCCCTGCCTGCTATCTTTGTGTTTTTTTATTGTATCATCTGTCTGTAGTTTTGTTGTCTTTGGAATTTCAGGTTTCCAGTTTTAACGATTCTTTTCCATGACTCCCCTAACCTTCACCAAAATCATACATGCCCTCGGCTAACAGAAGCAATGTGTTTGGTCTCTGCAGCTGGTGCTATGGGGCTCTTTGGTGGAGAGAAGCCTGACACAGTGCTCAGTATAAAGAGATAATAGCTACTACAGCTACCCAAGATTCTCTAGAATTGCCTGAGCAAGTTGAAATCCAAAGCTGGTGACTAAGAAATGACGATGTTTCATCATCTTTCCCATCTGAACTGGGGCCAAAACTAAATAGCCTAGACCTTGACTCTTAGAGGCCAGGGACACCAGCAAGTCTAGAACTCAGCACCAGGGTTATGGCTTGTGTCTCCCCACCCTTGGAAGTGCCAGCAGTGGGCTGAACTGTCCCTGGTTCCTCTCAGACAGGCCAAAGCCACTACAAAGTCCCTTGGTAGGCCAGTTCTCCTCCAAGAAGTGCTATCAACTCATCCTCGGAGCCTTACCACCAGCCACTTCTTTATTTCACTGCACACACAGGACTGTTTTGGCGATGTCGTGAAGTAAATGGATACCAGTGGACTGGTACTCTGAGAATAGGGCCCAGCTCCAATCAGGTGGCTCTGGAGGAGACCAAGGAGATGCTGAAGAAGAAACCTTCGGAGGTTGCCCGGGGATTCGATGAGAGTTCGATGAGAGAAAATCTACCACTGCTAGGAGGCCAGGCATCATTGCCCTCCAGTGATCTGACCCACCCGTGTGTCCCGCCGCAACAGTGTGGGGTGAAAAGCTTTGACAAACGTTTGCCAAAGAACGTGGAGGCTGTGAGACACCTAGGTTAGATGGAGTCAGGGATTAAAATCATCCAGACAAGAAGAAACAGTCACTTTTTCCATGAAGAGAAATGAACATTTAAAGGATGCACCAACTTCTCATGCCTTGAGTAGGAATCAGCGATTTGGGCTGGGCTCAGCTAGGCAGTGTCCCGTGGGTCTTGGCTGGCTCACGCATGTGTTTGCCAGCAGCGGAGACTTGATGGGCTGCCAGGGTGGTAGGGGGACTGGCCTTTTTTCCTCCTTGTGCAGCAGGAGAACCCAGGCCTGTTCACCTAGTGGCAACTGCAGGGCTCCCAAGAGCAGCAGGAGAGGAGAGGCCCCATGCACAAACGTTTTTCAAGTCTCTGCTTGTGTTACATTTGTTTTGGGCCACTGGCCCGATCAAATCACGTGGCCAATCCCAGATGCAAGGGGTAGAGATATAGACCGCACCTCTTGATGAGAAGGGAAGAATTTATGGCCATTTTTTGCAGTCTACACAAATTACAACGTCCAGAAATATCCAGCTTTGGGATTTAGGCAAAATCTATCATGTAGGCAAGGGTGGGAATGGGAAGTGCTCCTTCCTGAGACAGCACGATCACTTGTTTCCCAAAGCATCTAGAGCAGCAATCTGATGAGGTGAAGAGATGCACACCCTACACATCTCTGGTGTCCTGGAAGAGCTGAGCTGGGGTGCCAGAAACAACTCACGGTCAATGAAGTACAAAACCGGAGAAGATCAAGTGGAGTCTGTGGGAAAAATGGCCCACAATCAAAATATTAATGAAATCGGATCGTCCCTTCCTCTTAAATTCTTTTTCATTCTTCTCTATTTACCGCTGTCTCCATTGTTTTCCCTTCCCCCTCTTTCATGTGTGTATTTTCGGCATTTATCAAAAGGCACCCAGGGGCGCCTGGGTGGCTTAGTCGGTTGAGCGTCCGACTTTCGCTTAGGTCATGATCTCGCGGTTCGTGGGTTCGAGCCCCGCATCGGGCTCTGTGCTGACTGCCAGCTCGGAGCCTGGAGCCTGTTTCGGTCTGTGACTCCCTCTGACTCTCCCCTGCTCACGCTGTCTCTCTCTCTCCTAGAAATAAAAATATTTAAAAAAAAAAAAAAAAGGCACCTGATGACCATTTAATCAGAGTGCAGAGGGAGGTGGCGTTCTGTGCGTGGCACCGACATGTGAAAAGTCCGGGAGAAGGAGGGTGAGGAGAGCCCTTAATGTCCCAGACTCAGATGTCACGGCGCACAGCAGAAGGAGAAAAAGCAGTTTACGTTCTCAGGATGGGAAAAGAAACACCACTTACACAGCTTTTCAAAGACGTACACTCTTCTGTTTTGCTCCAGCCGCTCAAGAACTGCCATTCAGAAAGGCAAACTGAAGTCATTTCTGTAATTGTCCAGCAGGTCACTGTCACTGAGCTCACCAAAGGCCCTCTGAATTTAGCGGAACAATAGTCATTGACTAGTGGCTGGGAGGAGATGGGGATAAAAGGTATATTTTGCCTAAAGCTATCTTCTGTTGTCAGTACAAGGCCTTCTTCTACCGGTAGGAACAAGTTCCTCCTTCTCTGAGCACAGCCCAGGAAGTACAGAAGAACATACCGTAGGCAGAGGCATGTTCTAGGGACCAGCAGCCCAGAGCTAACTCCCTGTAAGAACTGGAAAAGGGATCCAATCGGTTTGGCTAAGGAAGAACATTAGGCAGGATGAACTCAGTGGATGAGACACTCCACGTGTGGGAATGTTCTCACATGTAGTCACCTTCTTGTTTCTCGCAAGAGCTAGATGTGCACTGCAGTTTGGAATCAGCCCCCCCCTTAAAGGCTGCCCCCCATCCCTTGCCAAAGCAAAGGTCAAATCTTCCGAGGTGGTGGCCAGAGAAGGTCCCGGGCCCGCTGGCTCTTGGATTTGTGTCTTGTCCCCAGAGTCTGCTTCTGATTTCTAGTCACCCAGAGAGACGCCTTGAAAACAAACATCAGACCACAAGGGACATCCTGGTTGGAAAGTCACTCTGGAAAAGAGCAGAAAAGAGTCCAGTGTTAAGCCACACAATGGTTAAAGAAACCGGACACAACACAGCAGAGCCTACAACTTACCTGTTCAGAGCCTGGAGCTCCCTGACTCTGTGGCTATTGTTCCTAAGCCTCAGTGGGTGCCGAAGCCAACACACAGCTGACAGAACTTAGTTCCAGGGCCACACACTGAGTTCCCGGCCCTTTCGGGCTGACTACGTTCCAGCCCCACAACAACTAGTGCCGGGGGTGCTCCCTAAACCCACATAACCTGGAAGTTCGTTCCCTGCTCATGGTACTTGATGCCATCTCATCCTACTCTTACAACAACAGATACTTAATTGTTTTGGGGGGGGGTCCTCATCCTGCCAACACTTTTTTCCATTCATATTCTCTCCCCATACTGCACACTTAAGGTCCACCTTGAATTATGGAAAACAAGATGGCAGAAGAGGCAGGGTAACTGAGGGGGGAGGGTGAGCACTCGGGCTGGCAGAGTGGCCTTCAGAGCACAGGGGGCAGAGGCATTGTGGCAACCAAGAGTGGACATTTGGGACCGTCCCCCCGCGATTCTATGACTTCCAGAGCTCGCATTTGGGGGCCGCGGGGTGGACGCGGGTGCTCTTGGCATTTAGAAAGAAAACAATAAAATCGAGTAAGGCCAATTACAAAAGAGACAACCGGGCAGGGGCCCAAAGGTTCCCTTCAGTTCCTGGCGTACCCTCCACAAAGTGTCACAGGGTGAAAGGAGAAGCGAGCTGTCCTTCGAAACCAGCGGTAGCGCTCAGCCTTCTCTGGGAAGTGAACGCTTCGGGAGCTTTCTGCCAGTTACCCGCCCTCCCCGCCAGGCGTGGGAGACGGGGAGGAGGGCACACCCCGCGTGCGCAGTACGTCGCGCACGCCGATCTCAGAAGCCCCCCCCCCCCAACGTCTGTGGGGTAACGAGGCCTCGAATCCCCGACGCCACACGCTTCCGCAAGCTGGTCTCGGGGAGCGGACACGCTACGTGCGTCCGGCGGCTATTCCTGCCCTTAGCGGCCCCCCAGGGCCCCGCGCTCACGGCCCTCCCCTCCCCCGCCGCCCCCACCCCCGGTCCCGGGCGGCGCGCGGC